AGAGCATTTAGTAAATAATATTGTACCGTATTTATCAAAACTTAATAAATATTATTGTAGTGTACAGTATATTCTCAATTTAACAAATTAATCCGAGCCACCCCTTTCCGTTAAATCGAAATTTTCGCTAAGTCGAATTCCCGTTATTTTCGCTCGATTTAGCAAACTAGTTCGTTAAATCGAGCATGATTCCATTAAATTCTGCGCCAAATGCGCCACTTGGCCCATGGGGTTTGTTTACTTCCGCTCAGTCTGTGTCCTGCCGCCATCATGCCGAAAGTCTCTCGGAAGTTTCAGAAAGGTAGTGGTGTGGGGGAAAAAGTAAAAAAAGTGCAGCTATCAATTGGAAAAAAAAGTTTGGAAATTATAAAAAAAATTTAGAACTAACACTGAACTCCCTAGTTTAAGGCAAGCCATGAATAATGTTTTTAAGGTGTCTATGTACATATCATGTGTCTGAGGTGTCTTCATAGGTGTGAGTGTATTAACGGAAAAAATTTCTTCCACTAAACCGAGAGTTCGTCATATCGGATTCCGTTAAATCAAGAGTACGGTATACTGTACTACATAATGTGTCTCAATATGCCCTGGTTTATTCACTGATCAGCTGTCTAAGTGCAAAAGGAGCTAAATCAAGCCATCATGTATCAATTAATTTTAAAATAGAAAATGGATATTAAAATGTTAAGACAATGGTTTAGTAGTGTTGTTAATGTGTGTGCTGTTTAAGTGCCTTGTCACATCAACTCGGCTCTCATCTCGTCACCTCACCCCTTGTCTAGTCAGCTCACCGTACAGTGTTACATTTATTTATTATTTTATTATTTACTTTAATATTACTGTATGTACAGCGTGCCCTTAAAATTTGCTGAGGTTAATTTCTCAAAATGGCCGCAAATAGCCAAATCCGCGAATATCATTTGTAGACCGGGGAGGGGGTTACTCGTGTGCAAAAATTGTACATTCCTTTTCTGTGCTTGTCCTTAGGACAATTATTTCTTTTGCCTGTATTGCATACATGTGTCTGTGTGTGTATCCGCACAGACACACTTCTATTATTACTACTACTACTACTTTGCTGTCACTCGGAATCGAGTATGACGATCATCCAGCTATGATACAATGATATGGGGTATTAGGGATGTCACCTAGGATAGTGAGTTTTGAGGTGACTAAAGAGGCCGATACAGGACCCGCAGCGTCGTTCACATTCGTTGCACATGTAGAGGGCTCCATATACTGTGGGAGGGACAGTGGCAGCATCTCTCCGGCGGTGGCGCTTGTCTGCCTCAGTTTGCAGTCGGGTTAACTCGAAAGTGTTGACTCTTCTCGTGTGGTGCACCTCCAAGCATTACGATGTGGAGTAATCGACTCCCAGGTAAGGGGGTCGATTTGGCACTTTTTCAGGTTTGTCTTAAGACTATCCTTATACCTTTTCAATTGCTCGCCGGCGTTATCTTTACTATTCATCAGGTGACTGTAAAGTAGCTGATTTGGCAGTATACTGTCGTCCATGCAGGTAACATGGCCAGTCCAACATAGTTGTTCATGGATAATGGTAGCCTCAATGCTCTATAGTTGGTGTCAGCAAGAATACTGGCATTTATTCTCGTCTTCCCAGCGAACTCAGAGGATGGAACGTAGACGACGTTGGTGAAAGTTTTCAAGGGCCTTGAGGTGCCTCCTGTATGTGACCCATGTCTCACTGCCATAAAGCAGGGGGGATTGGACCACTGCTCGATATACGTGCAGCTTTGTAAATAATTTCAGCTCCCTACAGCTGAAGACACGAATTTCAGAGTCTGCCAAGGCTTGAGATGCACATCTGATCGGATGCTGAATCTCTTTGATGTCTGCGGTGGTAGACAGGTGGGAGCCGAGATACCGAAAGTGGGCAACATTAGAGAGGGTAGTACCGTTAAGCTGGATGGATGGTGGAGATGTGTCTGAACCAGGGGCAGGTTGAAAGAGAATCTGAGTCTTACGTACATTCACCTCAAGGCTGAAGTGTGCATACGCGTGTGCATAGGTGTTCAGAATCTCCTGTAGGTTATGTTCAGTGTGAGCAACAAGGGTGAGGTCATCTGCATACTGAAGTTCAGTAAAGTTAACTTTAATAACAAAGCACGGAGTTGAGTTGAGGGTAGACTCACATTTTTAATACATTTTGTTGTCGTTTCTGATTACAGGGTATTTGTGAAAGGATTTTCTCATTATTATTTATTTGTGTGTTCTGTCTGTGTGTGTGTGTGTGTGTGTGTGTGTGTGTGTGTGTGTGTGTGTGTGTGTGTGTGTGTGTGTGTGTGTGTGTGTGCGGACAAACACACACATACACACATATACATAATACAGGTAAAAGAAATTACTGTCTCCAGAACGAATGGCTCCATGTCCCGGCCGCAAAAATGCCAACATGCTGTACAGTACATTAAAAAAAAAAATTATGTTTGCACAGTAATTATAAATGTATTATTTTCAGTGGTAGCCAAGGCAAGGCGCAAAAACTGAACAGAAAAAGAATGACTAATTGAACACAAAAATTCGGAAATTGTCGAATACAGTTAACCCTCACTTTACGCGGTTAATGTAACCCGGAGGGTACCGCGGAAAGCGAGAAACGCGTAAAGTGAATAACATAACATATGGGATTAATTGAAATGGAGTCCAGGCCGATCCCCAAACTCCACTTTTTGACGACACATAACTATGTTGTAGTAAAAATAACATCTTAATTTTATGATGGTACATGCACACAATTAATACTTAAGAGAAATAGAGAAATACAGTCGCCAAGTTAATGTCCATTCAAATAATGGACACGACTCCCTCCCCCTCTCACACTACACTGCCGGCTCTTCCCTCTCTGAGAAATTTTGGGGGGAAAACCAGGTATAGTAATAAATAATACCTCAAACTAAAGTTAGGATAATATAATTGACATTGCTGGATTCCTTGTAAGACCAGGAATATTTTGAATATAAATGTCATATATTTTTCACAAAAGATAACATACTTACTCAGATTAAACATTTTATCTAAAAATTTTATGTCTAATGCAAAATATATGATGTTTATATTCAAAATGATCACCAAATTGTAAGAATTCCAGCAATGTAAATTATATTCTGGCCGGGTAATTTGTATGAATTTTATGAGCTAAAACAAATATCTTCAGTTAATAAAAAAAAAAAATATTCTTCACGACACTATCTGTCAATCAAAGTACCCCACCTTGCCTCCCCCCCTCTTCCAACCGCGCGGTCAGTCCCAACCCTCCCCCCCACCCCCCACCAATCCTCCCTTCAAGAGATGTTGGGTGAAAAATTTAGATTTTAACATTTTGTATTAAATAATACCTCAGATTAAAGTTAGGATAATATAATTGACATTGCTGGATTCCTTGTAAGACCAGGAATATTTTGAATATAAACGTCATATATTTTGCACAAAAGATAACATACTTACTCAGATTAAACATTTTATCTAAAAATGTTATGTCTAATGCAAAATATATGATGTTTATATTCAAAATGATCACCAAATTGTAAGAATTCCAGCAATGTAAATTATATTCTGGCCGGGTAATTTGTATGAATTTTATGAGGTAAAATAAAAATCTTCAGTTAATAAAAAAAAAAAAATTCTTCACACGGTAACAGATGGTCGGTCGCCGGTCCCTCCCTCCCTCCCCACCAACGTCCCTACTAGATAAATGTGTGGGAATACCAGACTGTTTACCTTTTTAGTAATAAATAATAAATCAGACTAAAGTTAGGATAATATAATTGACATTGCTGGATTCCTTGTAAGACCAGGAATATTTTGAATATAAATATCATATATTTTGCACAAAAGATAACATATTTACTCAAGAGTAAACATTATATCTAAAATTTGTATGTCTAATGCAAAATCTATGATGTTTATATTCAAAATGATCATCAAATTGTAAGAATTCCAGCAATGTAAATTATATTCTGGCCGGATAATTTGTATGAATTTTATGAGCTAAATTAAAAAAAATTATACTTCACCGTGTAAAGGGGTACACCCACCGCGGAATGTGAGCATCCTGGGTTCTGGCAGGGCACCGCGTAAACGTGGAAACGCGGAATGTGGGACCGCGTAAAGTGAGGGTTGACTGTAGTCAAAATATTCAAAACTTGGTTAATTCGGAATTTTGGTAATTGAAGCAACCCAGAGCCCTATTTTTGTCAAATTAAGGAGGGTATACTGTATTTTGGTTTTCCTTTATAAGTTTTACTAGTAACTTCACTTGCACAATATCTTGCTCAGGATTAAACCTATTATGTTTAAGATTAAAAATTAAATAACCAGCTAATTTAATACATTTGCCTTCGAATAATACTGTATATCCACTTTTTGAACAATTAACAGCAAAAATATGTTTACATTTTAAGGCACCACTAAAATGGGGGTTGGTATGGTTGTAGGTCTTTAGGAAGGCACTATTAGGACATATAAGGAACAAATGATGAAAAAATTTACACACAAACCAAGAACATCCCAAAAAGTTAATCTAAACAAGCATGGCAGAATCCATGATCATTCTGCACTACACCTAAAAGGTCTGGATTCGAGTGAAATGCCGGTATTGTATCAAGTTAATTTTAAGTGCGTAATGACAATTTTCAGATAGAACAAGTTTTTGGAATTCTGAATTTGAAAGGTTTTCACTCTACTGTACTGTAAATAAGTTATATTTCAGTTTGATAACAAAATTCTAGTAGGTTACAGGAACAACATATCAGCAGAAGCAGGAAAACTGAAGGAGCTAGAAAAAAGTGAACTCACAGGAGGAATAACACAATCCACAATGGTATATGAAATTGAAGCATGATTCTGCATTAATAACATGACTAGTTAAGTGTTACAAAGATAAATTACCTATCAGTAGTGGATATGAACATTTAGACAAAGAGCAGAGTAAAAAATGGAGAACTAAGAGGGAACTATATGTATCCACAGCAAAATTGTACCTGAACCCATCAAGTTGTTTCATGTCAAACTTGAAGTCCTTAAATACTGCTTCAGTCCCGGGCATCAGACCCTTCAGCTTGGTCTCTACTTTGTTGAAACTCTCCATCTCACCAACAGACACCAGAGACAAGGCTGTGCCCTGGTTATTCCCTCGAGCAGTTCGTCCTACGCGGTGAATGTAGCCTTCTACGTTTTGAGGGAAGTCAAAGTTGATGATGTTGGATACAAATTGAAAGTCAATTCCACGGGCCACACCAGATTCTTTGTCTTTTTTCCTTTTGCTGTTGATAAATTTACAAGATTGTATTTAATGATTTTATACTTCACATGATTCCATTTCCTCATCCACAAGACCAAAAAAATTTTTTATTATTATTATTTAAATTTTTTTTACATTTGACTTTGTGTAATGTAGTGTAATTATTACACTCAGCGAATTGGGAATAGTGACATTAATAGATCAATAGATGGAAAGACAGACAAATAAAGAAACAAACAGAGAAAGACTAAACATGAAAATTGACAATTTGTATACGGTACTCATCTCATTTTTAGCATTAAACATCAATCGTACTTTTCCTGTGTCACTACAGTTTAATAATAAAACACTGATTCATCCCCACACCTAACAACACCCACTTGCAATAACTATCAAAGATCCTACTGTATATTGAATTTGATCCATGAATTAACAACACCCCCTTGCAATAACTATCAAAGATCCTATATTGAATTTGATCCATTAATTTTAGCACTGTCAAGTAATAAGATTCCAAATGAGAATTTTTTTATCCATCAATATCTATACGTATCTCTACTTACCCACATATCTATTAAAGTAAGAGTGAGTGTGTGTGTGTGTGTGTGTGTGTGTGTGTGTGTGTGTGTGTTACCAATGCATATTAAGTGAATAAACCTCTGAATCTTCCCAATTCATTTGGTATCCACCCTACTCCCATAAATTATGCCTGTGTTGGATCAAGAGTAACAAGAGCCTCAAGAAAGGGATTTATCTATTCATTCATCATAACCCACTGTCATTATAGTGCCTCAATATTTTCCACCTTTACGTTTCTTGACACAGAAATCAGGTTTCATCAGACACTTTTTTCAAGTGTTTTGTTTCATCATCACACTGTTTACAGAATCAAAAGTAAATTTGCCACAACATCATGTACTTTATAAACAATTTGTACCTTTTCGTGTGTTTGTTTTTGCTTGATTCTGGATCTTCAAGGCTCTGCTCATCTGAGGCGATGATGATGTCATACTTGCCGCTGTTGAACTGTTCTACTATGTGACACCTGGAGGTTACCGGCATCTCAGAGTTAAGCACACAAGAGCTGATTCCAAACTGTGACAAGTACATTCTCAGCCTGGGGGCAGGAGGAATTCATTACAAGAAATATGTTTGCAAATCACATGCACCCTGTCTCAAGCCACCTCCGTCTTTTGTTTAGGTTGTAGCAAACTCCAAAATACAATAGGTATAACATCCCTAGATAATCAGCCACTTATGAGACTTGCTGATGGTACAGTACTGAGTGTCATATAATTAATTTTACCTTACCAAAGAACACTTTCACTGGCAGGGCATAATGCTTCTCTAAAATACAGTACTATTGTACTCATAGAGAAAACTCAAATATTTTTTTACTAATGTAGGGCATGTCTAAGACATCACAGAGTTTATTTATAATACTTGATATTTGACAGAACTTACTTGTAGCCCTTGTCAACATTGTTAACAAAGATGATGGTCTTCCCACGGATCATGTTTAGGCGAAAGAGTACATTGATCAAGATAACCTTGTCCATCACATTCAGCTGGAAGAGCAATGATACTATATAGTTAACTGTCTGAATGATAGCATAAGATGAAAAATTCTGATATATTATAACAACTGAATGAAGTAAGCACTTAAAACTTGTGAAATGGAAAAACAGAATTATGGATATACCAAAGAGTTCAACTTATTTCTTCGCTTCATAAACATGGAGTAAATGAATCAGTTTAGCATTTAAAATGTAGCCTCATTGAAAAGTACAGTACTGTACAGTAATTGCATAAGCATGATAACCTGTTTTAGTAGAAGCTGAGGTTTCACAATGAATGAAGTATTAAGAAATTATATACAAATTTTCCATTTTTAACCTTAATGACATATTGCGTAAGCTGGGCAGTGGTCGGTACTGGAGGTTCCTCGAGCCTTAAGATTACAGCCTTGTTAAGGACGAGCTTCTTCAGCCTCTTCACGTCATCCCACATTGTGGCACTCGTTACAAAGGACTGATAGATCTTTGGTAACTGTCTGAAACCGAGATTAATTTCACTTCAGTAACTTCCTGATGATAAGAAAAATTTCTTTACTATCTACTGCATATTAAATATTTGGTAATAACACTCCCACACACCGCCTTATTTATAACAAGTACAGTGAGTTCTGCTATAACGCGTGTTTTGACAACGCGAATTTGCTCGAACGCGATTTATGAATTGAGGAACGATATTTGTAAAACGCGAACTCGTTTGCTCTAACGCGATTCCACTCGAACGGTTGTTGTGGCTTCAGTTCACGTTCGACATCACATGTTCAATTGAGTTATGTGTTTTGTTTGTGAACAATTGCAGAAATAATGTATGTAATATTTATGTATACAGTATACCTATATATTATAAGTAAATTGTAAAATTTTACATAAAAGAGAAAATCAAATTACATAGCGTTTTACACCCGCGCTCTCTCTACATCACACACAGTGTTTACAGTTCACGTTCGACATCACATATTCAATTGATTTATGTGTTTTGTTTGTGAAGAATTGCAGAAATAATTTGTAATATTTATGTATACAGTAAACCACTCACAAGGTCCTACAGTACCACTAATTATTTTATACTGAAACTTACGTTTGGTAAGCTGGATTAAAATGAAGATTACCGGTATATTAAAATAATAAAAATGTATTATAAACCAGTCTAACATACCGTAATAAACACAGCTGCTATTATCAACCCCCCCACCCCCATTTGCCAGTGACAAGAAAGGGAAAGTGACCTTGACTGTGACCGCCTGTGGCTATTTTTAGCCGTCCTTGTGTTCGGAGGTGGTCAGTAATGCATATCTGTATATTTACTGATCATAATACTTATCTCTTATAAATAATTCATTTAAAATTTATTTTTTTGCAAAGAATATTCAGTAAATGACTGCATTAATTCTTGAAACTACCTACAATGGTAAATTTAGGATATAAATAATGAACAGAAGTCACGTCATGGATTCGGAGTTTGGTCCTTAACGATCACCATAAATGTAGCCTCCCTTTTTCGCGAAACACGTATATAAATTAAAGAAAATACTTGCAGTATATTTAATATATTACAGTATATTATATATAAATAAATAAACAAATAAATTCAAATTCCCTTATCATCCTGTGTCATATACAGAAATACTTGAGTCCCTGAGCGAGTACACAAAAAGAAAACGGACATCCTGGAGTGCATAGAGAACGGACAGCTCTACTGGGGGACTCAAACGTTTCTCATGTTTTGTGGGCGCTCTAGCATAATATGAATAATATGTAAATTACAATTTACTTATACAGGTATATATATATATGTGTGTGTGTGTGTGTAAATTGTAAAAATTTAAATAAAAGAGAAAAACTAAATACGTAGCGTTTAAAGTGTTAAAGTGTACTGTACAGTGTTGTGGCTTGGCTCAATGTTTACAGTTCACGTTCGACATCACTTGTTCAATTGATTTATGTGTTTTGTTTGTGAAGAAATACCTGTACAGTATATGTTAATTGTAAAATTCTAAATAAGAGAGAAAAACAAAATAAGTAGCGTTTAAAGTGTACTGTACATTGTGGCTTGGTGCGGGGTTATGCAGTGTTTACAGTTCACGTTCGACATCACATGTTCAATTGATTTATGTGTTTTGTTTGTGAAGAATTGCAGAAATAATTTATGTAATATTTATGTATACAGTATACCTGTACAGTATATGTAAAATGTAAAATTTTAAATAAGAGAAAAACAAAATACATAGCGTTTTAGACCCGCGCGCTCTGTTTACTCCACACTTTGTTTGAAACACGTGAAGCTTTTAAGTGTCCTCAGTGAATTCTGATTACTGTTTCTCCAATTTTGTGACTATGGAAAAGAAGAATATCTCTGGGAAGCGTTCTGGTGATCGCATTTCCGGTGGTGATCGTAAAAGAAAGGCTATAACACTTGAAGAAAAGCTTGATGTTTCATGACTCCTCAGCCTCAACATCAACCTTCTCCCCCATCAAGTTATATTCATATTTTTTCAAGGTAAAGTGTAACATTTACTGTATGATTTCATTATTAGATATGAATGTAACATTTATTTAGACTGTGCTATCCTTTGTGTTAGGCTAACTACGAAATTTTTTTTCGATTTGGAGTAATCTGCACCTAACCCTATTTTCTCCATAAGCCCTGTTATTTCTATTACACGAATTTCTATAACACGATGTTTTACAAGAACACTACTATCGCGTTATAGCAGAACTACCTGTACCCCGAAACACATGGGCTAGTTGTGACCTTCTTGCACGGAAGAGCCACGCTATATACATTTTTTCTTCGGATAGATTTTTCGGCAACCAGTTCATTTTTTCATATAAAACCAACTAAAATAAACCCTTGATAACTCAGCACACATGGGGCTCTGGCTTTGCCGAGTTATCCCAAATTCTGACAAATCGAGGCACTCCCCCCCCCCTTACAAAAATACAACAATAAAAAATTATCGACCCATATACTGTACTGTATGTGTAAATGTAATTTCTAACTGTAAAAAAGAAACACTTACAAGCAATGCAGGAAAAAAAAAGCATCATAGTATGTGACACAGAAGCATGGTAGGTGACACAGATGCATGGTAGGTGACACAGAGGCATGGTAGGTGACAGAGGCATGGTAGGTGACACAGATGCATGGTGAGCAGACACAGAGGCATGGTAGGTGACAGATGCATGGTAGGTGACAGATAGCATGGTAGGGGTGAGACACAGATGTGTGACACAGAGGCATGGTAGGTGACACAGAGGCATGGTAGGTGACACAGAGGTATAGTAGGTGACACAGAGGTATAGTAGGTGATACAGAGGTATAGTAGGTGACACAGAGCCATGGTATGAGACACAGAGATATAGTAGGTGACACAGAGGCATGGTAGGTGACACAGAGGTGTAATTGGTGATACAGAGGTATGGTAGGTGATACGGAGGCATGGTAGGTGATACAGAGGCATGGTATGTGACACAGGTAGTAGGTGATACAGAGGGATGGTAGGTGACACAGAGGCATGGTAGGTGACACAGAGGCATGGTAGATGACAGAGGTATGGTAGGTGATACAGAGGCATGGTAGGTGACAGAGGCATGGTAGGTGATACAGAGGCATGGTAGGTGACACAGAGGTATAGTAGGTGACACAGAGGTATAGTAGGTGACACAGAGGTATAGTAGGTGATACAGAGGCATGGTAGGTGATACAGAGGCATGGTAGGTGATACAGAGGTATAGTAGGTGATACAGAGGCATGGTAGGAGACACAGAGGCATGGTAGGTGATACAGAGGCATGGTATATGACACAGAGGTATAGTAGGTGACACAGAGGTATAGTAGGTGACACAGAGGCATGGTAGGTGATACAGACTCATGGTAGGTGACACAGAGGTATAGTAGGTGACACAGAGGCATGGTAGGTGATACAGAGGCATGGTAGGTGATACAGAGGTTTAGTAGGTGACACAGAGGCATATTAGGTGATACAGAGGTATAGTAGGTGATACAGAGGCATGGTAGGTGATACAGAGGTATGGTAGGTGATACAGAGGTATGGTAGGTGACACAGAGGTATGGTAGGTGATACAGAGGCATGGTAGGTGACACAGAGGTATAGTAGGTGACACAGACGTATAGTAGGTGACACAGAGGCATGGTAGGTGACACAGAGGTATAGTAGGTGACACAGGCATGGTACGTGATACAGAGGCATGGTAGGTGATACAGAGGTATAGTAGATGACACAGAGGCATGGTAGGTGATACAGAGACATGGTAGGTGATACAGAGGCATGGTAGGTGATACAGAGGTATAGTAGGTGACACAGAGGCATGGTAGGTGATACAGAGGCATGGTAGGTGATACAGAGGCATGGTAGGTGATACAGAGGCATGGTAGGTGACACAGAGGCATGGTAGGTGATACAGAGGCATGGTAGGTGATACAGAGGCATGGTAGGTGACACAGATGCATGGTAGGTGACACAGATGCATGGTAGGTGACACAGATGCATGGTAGGTGATACAGAGGCATGTTAGGTGATGAAGGGGAATGGTAAGTGACACAGATGCATGGTAGGTGACACAGATGCATGGTAGGTGACACAGATGCATGGTAGGTGACACAGATGCATGGAAGGTGATACAGAGGCATGGTAGGTGATGCAGGGAATGGTAGGTGACATGGGGAGGCATGGTGGGGTGGCACGAGGCTGGCAGGTGACACAGAGGCATGATAGTGACACAGAGGCATGGCAGGTGACACAGAGGCATGGTGGGTGACATGGGGAGGCATGGTAGGTGACACAGAGGCATGGCAGGTGACACAAGGGCATGGTAGGTGACATATGGGGCATGGTAGGTGACAGAGCACTTGACGGGTGACAGAGGCATGGTGGGTGACACAGGGCATGGTAGGTGACACAAGGGAAACATGGTGAGTGACACAGAGGCATGAGTAGGTGACACAGAGGCATGGCAAGGTGACACAGAGAAGCATGGTACTTGGGTGACACAGGGCATGGTAGGTGACACGGATGCATGGTGGGTGACACATGGAGCCCAGGGTGGGTGACACAGGGCATGGTGGGTGACATGGGAGGCATGTGGTAGGTGACACGGATGCAGGTGGGTGACACAGGAGCATGGTAAGGTGACACAGATGCATGGTGGGTGACACAGATGCATGGTAGGTGACAGATGCATGGTAGGTGACACAAGAGGCATGAGTAGGTGACATGGGGCATGGTAGGTAACACAGAGGCATGGCGGGGTGACAGGAGGTATGGTGGGTGACACAGAGGCATGGCAGGTGACATAGGGCATGGTAGGTGACACAGAGGCATGGCGGGTGACACAGGGGCATGGTGGGGTGGTGACACAGGAGGCATGGCAGGTGACACAGGGCATGGTGCAGGTGACACACAGATGCATGGTAGGTGACACAAGGCAAGGTAGGTGACACAGAGGCATGGTAGGTGAGACACAGATGCATGGTAGGTGACACAGGGCATGGTGGGTGACAAAGGCATGGTGGGTGACACAGGAGGCATGGTAGGTGACACAGAGGCATGGTAGGTGACACAGAGGAGGCATGGTAGGTGACAGAGGCATGGTGGGTGACAGAGGCATGGTAGGTGACACAGATGCATGTTAGGTGACACAGATGCATGGTAGGTGACACAGATGCATGGTAGGTGACAGAGGCATGTGGTAGGTGACACAGATTCATGGTAGGTGGCTGAGGCATGGTAGGTGACAGAGGCATGAGTAGGTGGCCACAGATGCATGGTGAGTGACAGAGGCATGGTAGGTGACAGAGGCATGGTAGGTGACACAGATGCATGGTAGGTGACACAGATGCATGGTAAGGTGACACAGATGCATGGTAATTGACAGAGCATGGTAGGTGACACAGAGGCATGGTAGGTGACACAGATGCATGGTAGGTGACACAGAGGCATGGTAAGGTGACATAGAGGCATGGCAGGTGACACAGATGCATGGTGGAGGTGACACAGAGGCATGTGGTAGGTGACACAGATGCATGGCAGGTGACACAGAGGCATGGTGGTGACATAGAGGCATGGTGGGTGACACAGGGGCATGGCAGGTGACACAGAGGCATGGCGGGTGACATAGGAGCATGGTAGGTGACACAGATGCATGGTAGGTGACACAGATGCATGGCAGGTGACATAGAGCATGGTAGCAGGTGACACAGAGGCATGGCAGGTGACACCACTGTAGATGCATGGTAGGTGACACAGATGCATGGTAGGTGACACTGACAGTGGGTGACACAGAGGCATGGCAGGTGACACAGAGCATGGTGGGTAACACCATAGAGGCATGGCAGGTGACACAGGGAGGCATGGTGGTGGCACAGAGGCATGGCAGGTGACACGAGGCAATTGGGTGACACAGAGGCATGGCAGGTGGCCTGCAGAGGCATGGCTTGGGTGACATAGAGGCATGGTGAGCACAGATGCATGGTAGGTGACACAGATGCATGGTAGGTGACACAGAGGCATGGCAGGTGACACAGATGCATGGTAGGTGACACAGATGCATGGTGGGTGACACAAGAGGCATGGCAGGTGACACAGAGGCATGGTAGGTGACATAGAGGCATGGTGGGTGACACAGAGGCATGGCCAGGTGACACAGGAGGAGCATGGTGGGTGACACAGAGGCATGGTAAGGTGACACACGAGAGGCATGGCAGGTGGCCACAGAGGCATGGTGAGGTAGGCACAGATGCATGGTAGGTGACACAGAGGCAAGGTAGGTGACACAGAGGCATGTTAGGTGACACAGGGGAGGCATGGTAGGTGACACAGAGGCATGGTAAGGTGACACAGAGGGGCATGGTAGGTGACACAGAGGCATGGTACTTAGGTGACACACAGAGGCATGGTAGATGACATAGAGGCATGGTAGGTGACACAAGATGCATAGCAGGTGACACAGAGGCATGGCAGGTGACACAGAGGCATGGTGGATGACACAGAGGCATGGCAGGTGACACAGAGGCATGGTAAGGTGACACAGAGGCATGGCAGGTGATTGACACATAGAGGCATGGTGGGTGACACACAGGGCATGGTAGGTGACACAGATGCATGGTAGGTGATTGACACAGAGGCAAGGTAGGTGACACAGAGGCATGGTGGGTGACACAGATGCATGGTAGGTGACACAGAGGCATGGTGGGTGACACAGGCATGGTAGGTGACACAGAGGCATGGTGGGTGACACAGAGGCATGGTAGGTGACAGGGCATGGTGGGTGTGACACAGATGCATGGTAGGTGACACACAGATGCATGGTAGGTGACAGAGGCATGGTAGGTGACAGAGGCATGGTAGGTGACACAGATGCATGGTAGGTGACACAGAGGCATGGTAGGTGACAGAGGCATGGTAGGTGACACAGATGCATGAGGTAGGTGACACAGCAGATGCATGGTAGGTGACACAGATGCATGGTGGGTGACAGAGGCATGGTAGGGTGACAGAGGCATGGTAAGGTGACAGAGGCATGGTAGGTGACACAGATGCATGGTAGGTGACCTGGATGCATGGTAGGTGGCTGGTGCATGGTGGGTGACAGAGGCATAGTGGGTGACCTAGAGGCATGGTGGGTGACAGCATGGTGGGTGACACGGGCCATAGTGGAGTGAGCACCACAGATGCATGGTAGGTGACAGAGGCATGGTAGGTGACACAGAGGCATGGTAGGTGACAGACGCATGGTAGGTGACACAGAGGCATGGTAGGTGACACAGAGGCATGGTAGGTGACAGACGCATGGTAGGTGACACAGATGCATGGTAGGTGACACAGATGCATGGTAGGTGACAGAGGCATGGTAGGTGACACAGAGGCATGGTAGGTGACACAGAAGCATGGTAGGTGACACAGATGCGTGGTACGTGGTGCAGATGGCCAGATATGCCGAGATTTCACCAGATAATTTATACATCTTGGCTTTTCTCGAGTTATACTGATACATTCCGAGACCATATCTATGCCGAGTTATAGAGGGTTTACTGTATATACAGTGAGTTCTGCTATAACGTGTGTTTTGATAACGCGAATTTGCTCTAACGCGATTTATGAATTAGGAACGATATTTGTATAACGCGAATACTTGTTTGCTATAACGCGATTTTTGCTTACTATTTCTCCAATTTTGTGGTATTAACTGTGAATATGGTAAAGAAGAATATCTCCAAGAAGCGTTCTGGTGATAGAATTCCCGGTGATGATCGTAAAAGAAAGGATATAACACTTGAAGAGAAGCTCGATTTTATCAACCTCAAAATCACCCTTCTCCCCCATCAAGTTACATTCAAGTTACATTCATATTTTTTCAAGGTAAAGTGTTACATTTACTGTATGATTTCATTATTAGATATGAATGTAACATTTATTTAGGCTGTGCTATCCTTTGTGTTAGGCTAACTACTAAATTTTTTCGATTTCGAGTAATCTGCACCTAACCCTATTTTCTCCATAAGCCCTGTTATTTCTATTACGCGATTTTCTATAACACGATATTTTACAAGAACACAATTATCGCGTTATAGCAGAACTACCTGTAATACCTAAAATTGATTGACCTTACACATGAAACAAAAAAAAAGTGAAAAAAGACAAAAGAAGATATAATTTTGACAATGTAAAGTCATGCATTTTTACACTTTACATTGGCAAAAAAAAAAAAATACACAATAAAAAGGCTGGTAAATTGAAAAAATAAAAATAAATAAAATTAAATAAATAAATAATTAAATAAAGGGAATAAGGTATCTAGAATTTTACCCCAAAACATTTTACTCTCATTTTAGTTTTCACCATTATTTTCATATATTTTTTCATTGTTTTATTATTCCATTGGTTAACATAAGTTTCGAGGTATGTTATCAAGATTTTTAGAATTTTGATAGCAAATACGGTTTGGCTGCTAGAGATTTTAGAAAGAAAAAGCCCATCCCCACGTTGTGTACTGTTCTGTTATACATAGTGGATTGTAATATACTATACATCTTTGTAATATTATACCAGTGTGATGGTAGATGCTCAGATCTTTATGTACCCACAGAAGGGAATTTATTATGCAGTTCAAACATATGATACTTGCAAGTTTGAAAAGTGAAATATCGTAAAATAAACTAATAAACACTCATGAAGACACTTATAAAATACTTCACAACACTTCATAATTTTTATAGATAGATGAGATGTTTATTGTATCTACAGAAGGGCACTATGGCACATTTTTAATACATGATGGTTACAATTTGAATACTGTACTGTAAGTAAAATATTGTAAATAGTAAATAACTGAATACTTTGTAAACACATAGAATCACTTTACAGCAGCGGTGCTTAAACTGGGGGGCACCAGAAGATTGCAAGGGGGACGCGTGCGGTCAGAGAGAAAAGTCTGGTCAGGAACTGAACGCGTCTTGCACACGATTGCTCATCCCTCCCACTCTATAATAACCAAGGGTTGTATCAGGGGGTGGAGAGGCGTGGGATCTAGGGGGGCACGAGGCAAAAAAGTTTATGAACCACTGCTTACAGACTAATATTACTAAACAGTGGACGGCACAAGTGTGTTGGGTCACTTGGGTGGATATCAAGATAAAATTTAAAGGGTTCACTCACTCAGCCTTCTAGCTTCACTGTCGGGACAACACTGATGTCTCATGGTCAGCGGGCTATGGACTGTTGCCAAGTAACCAATTTGTGATGGATTACCACAAGAGAGGAGGCCTACCAGAATGAAGCGCCAAAATCTCAGGCATCATTCAGAATTGCTAGATTTTTCGTGATTTTTTTTCGCTTGAGTGACACTTTGGGCATCAGTGCCAATTGGAAGAGATTATCATTGATACCTGTATGCGTCACGGTGCACGAGTGTTAGCAAGATATTAACATATCTACACACTATATTGCCTATAATTATCAAGAGAATGTTAAGACCACCTAGTATCAATAAGTTTTAAAAAAAAGCTTTCATGGTCAAACAAAATATCACTTACAGTGCAACAACAACAACAAACTTCATGATCGCATGATGCCTTACTTCAGCACTGCTTCAATATCATTCAAGTGATCGAAGGCAAACATGAGGTCGGCCTCGTCAATCACCAAGAACTTGAGTGACTCCTTGACCTTCAGGTTACCAGCTGTCATGTGAGCCAACACTCTCAACGGGGTTCCAACAACAATGTCTGGTTTGTCTAGAAGTAACATAAATCAACTAACAAAATCAATCACACTTTAATATGTACAAATAACATGTCTATTAATTAGAATACTTCAGGTTGTGTGTGTCAGTGCAGAAACAACATGAAAGAGAGAGAACAATATACAGTACTGTACTGTATATCAAATTATTTACGGGTGAATCAGTTTCAATGAACTTATGGAACAATTTGTACAAAAGTACTGTATTTTACGGCATATAAGACGCACCTTTTTGTCTGAAAAATGGCTTAAAAAATCAGCCTGCATCCTGTTTGTGAAGTTGAGGACTTTCGCAAGCTGATGAATCCCCCAGCTGCTGTCTCCAGTAGGCTTAATTTTACCTAACCCAACACCAGAATTAAAAATATGTTATTGCTTACTTAAACACATTAATATTTTTTGTAATTGATTAAAAAAATAATTATTGTAAATATAAAAGCTCGATTTATAACTACTGTACTGATGATGATGACCTGAGACGATTAGCGTCTGTACGGCAGACACCCAACTCTTGAGACAGCTGAGCAGTAACCATTTCTGAACTCTAACAAGTCTTATTATTTATTAACGCTATACCTGAAACAATTATTTTTAAATCTAAAAATACCTGATACAAATGATGATTTACAGGTAACTTTCTTTTCACATTTGCATCTGTTAACTTCGCTGGCAGCTTTGTAACCAGGTTAGACTCATCACTGAGGCTCCTGGGGCAAGCTGTGAGGTGTTATGACTGTCTTTCATCTCGTATTTTTGGGTAGATATACACATCTTTCTTCATTTATTTTTACTCAGTTGCATGCACACACCATTCTACATACATATTGTGAAAAAGTAAAGGAAATAATTGCCCTAAGGGCAAACCCAAAAAGGGAATATACATTTCTTTGCACACGAGGAGGTGAAACATGCGGGGGAGGAGCGTTGCTAGGGAATAGGCGGAGGTGGCATCTCTGTTGCTATGGTGAACCAAGGCATATAGGCAAATGGCAACTGTGTTAAACTTTCATTTAGCTTTTATTTACTGGTACTGTTTATATTATTTTAAGAAAACTATGGATAAAGGAGGAAAATACAGGGTACACACAAGAGTTTTTTCCTAAATACTCCCAGCTGAAATAGGGAGTGCGTCTTTTATGCCGTAAAATAAGGTAAACAAATTAATGTGAAACAATGTAAAGAACAAACCTTTGTTTCTCTTATGGAAAAAGAATTCACCCACGATGGCAAAGAACAACAATGAACTGCTGTACAGGCATTTTGTCACAACTCTTACTTAAGGTACAGTCAATGTGACTGCACATTATATCAAAACATTAATATATACAGTATAAACATTTGATTGGTATAGTATGTATCTATGAACTACTGTAAAATCATATAAGATTTAAAAATTTTCGGCAGATGATCCCGTGTTACGGCCATACTCACTAAGAAGGAGTGGACGCTGTGCTTCTAATGGCACTTGCGCAGAGACGTCAACAAACTGCACCTCACGTTTACAGGAAACTGTCAGCTGAGCAATATTTTCTTTTATCTGCTTACATAACTCTTTGCTCGGTGCCAAAATAAGACCCTGTATTACCTGGAAATAAAAGAAAAAAGAAACAAATCATTCAATGTGAAAAGTTTAATTAGTAGAGACAATTCTAAGGCATTCAAGTAAGCCCATGGTTGAAGTAAATTCGCTAAGACAGTAATATCAGAGGTGGTAAAATATTGTACTGTTCAAAATAGAGGGCAGTTAAATTTAATGTACTGTACAGTACTGAGTATGTGATGTATTGTAGGAGAGGCTCAGGTTGGGTCCAGTGACAAACCGGCCTTCTTTCTGAACACAATCTCTGGTATTGATGAGGAAAACCTTTAAATTAATACAGAATATTTGTTAAAGTAAAACATACTAGAAGATAAATTAGCACATCACATTAAATATGCTAATATCCCCTCCAACACATTTATACTGTACTGACAAAAACATTGTATTAATATACTGTTTCGTCATATCTAGATTGATATTACCCATTCAGTTCCAACCGTTATCGCCGCTGGCTTCAGCTACAGTGCTGGCATGTGATGCCATTAAATCTTTCGACCTGTGACCTCGCCAGATGTAGAAGTGTTTACAGACAAGTCCTGGTTCTGCTGAGTGGACTGTCTTAGACTGGTGGCGGTGCTGCCCGCCCCTCCATGAGTCAGAGCGCCCTCTCTAGTGATGCTGTGAAGACCAGCCTTCTCCTGTCCGAGAATTTGTGCTGGGACGATTTACGCAATACTGTTTTCTCTTGGAACATCACACTGATCTGCATTGACCCGCACTTGTAAGTACGGCCAAAGTGGTGACATACCCCTCGGTACTGAAATATTGTTGACTAATTACGCCTACTCGTTTCTGCCTAACCTAGAGTAATAAGACAATGCAGAATAAAGCGAAGCTAAGATCAATAGAGTTATGAGCTTTGTGTTATGTCTGTATGTTTAATAAATTGTAATTAAGATAAAATTGTGTGACTAACTAATTATGTATCAGATGGATCACCATGTAATATTATGAACGCCTTCTCCTCTGCAGGCTTTGACCACATAAATAAATATTGAATGTGTCAAAAGACAGGTTTCAATCATTCCCTTCGACTTGCCCAACGCCTGAACGTCCTTAACTAAGGCGTTTTCACCAACTAAACGGAAATTATTTTTAGATACCTGTATAAATAATACAGCAGATAGTAATCTGACTGTTTGTCTTTATCAGATACTGTACATATGTACACACTCCAAAAGGTATCTCTACGGAGGGGTCCGATGAATTTCAAAATGAACACTACGGCTCCTATTGTTTTGGTAGGGTTAAATCCTTCATCAGTTGTGTCATATTTTCTCACACAAAATTGTAAAGATACCTTTTGGAGTGACTGTACAGTCTTACTAGTTAGTTGATGTCATGTTCACTCATTATCTCCCCTCCTGCATGTTTATTTAAAACAATAAGTAAATTCTTCATTAGCAGGAATCTTCGATCACTGGAACTCTCCATTACCTGGGTGGTAAGCGGGAGAGAAGGCGGACAAGCATGATAAAAGAGAAACATGCACTGTTAATATTTATTATCATTTTGTGTATGCAGTAGGCTCTCGCCAACAACATCTAATAGGTGCCTGAAAAACGCCGTTATTAGCGAAAACGTTACTTGTGTGACATTAAAATACATGTAAATAGGGTTTAATGGTGCTGCTGCCCCAAGAATTTTACCTATTTTTTCCCCTTTGAAGCCCTGCCTAACACTTTTTGTTAGCTGAAATAAAAAGAATTGTTATTCAATCATCAAACTAAAGAGTTTGAGTAATATAACACTTAGCTTGGGGGAGTTTTTGAGGTGCTTGGTGTGATGGTTGTTCCGTATCTGAGGGCTGCTAACACTTGCACTGTCTTTCATTCTACAAGCTAACCATTTAACAAGAAAATGCTCTGTTATCGCTAACAACCTGTTTCTATCGCCTTTATCATTCATAGCTCGCCTCGCATTTCCGTCACTACCGAAATATTTCTTAGCCAGCGCAATACTCTTCTTGGTCTTCTCTAAGTTCCTCTTAATATTTTGCACTGTAGACTCAGGACAGTTCAATTTCCTCACAATATCAATGTTCCGTGCACCACTTTCAATGAACTCAATAATCTGTTCTTTATCCTTGACCGAGTAGGCACACTTCTTGTGGCTTTGTCTCTTAGCTTTGGGGTCTTTTTTCTCATTCACTTTAAAACTTCCCGAGCGTTCAGGCGGCAAATAACTCCCTCCACCACCACCCATAGCCCCCACAGGCAAAAATGCAGAAGCCATTATTGACCAGCGACCCTAGCAACCATTGGTTATAGAGGCGAAAATCTCACACGTGGGCGCAGCGCTGTATTCCACAGAGCGTGTCTTGAGAATGAGGCGGAGCGGACAACTATGTCATCAACATGGCGGCAATCAAACGCTATCATTGATGCGCTCGGAAACTTCCCGCGAAATCTCCGTTATTCAAGAGAATCTAGACGTTATTATCGAAAATGGGTATCTATTGTCACTTACCGTTATTGTCGAAAACGTTATTGTGGAAGTCATTATTGGCGAGAGCCTACTGTAAGTGACACAGTAATGTAAAAAAGCCTTCTTGCACCTTCAGATTTACAGTAGTGCTGAAAATTATTTATAATGAATGTGTCATTAAGCATGAAAAGTACTCGTTGAACAATTATATTTTTCTGGATCCCCAGTTTTGAATCATCCTGCAACAATGTCATATATTTCTCAAAATAATATTATTACAGAACGACCTGGTCATCAGAACGAAGCCCTGTTGTAAGTGGAGGAGAGACTGTATACAGGTGGATAATTTGTATAATCTGGTAAGATAGCAGATGGTTAAAGTTTTCAACTTTATAGATTAAATACAACTGAACAAGGAAAAAATAAATAAAAATGAATAATAAAAGGATTTATTCAAGACTGAATTGGTTTCTTTTTTATTAGTCCTTGATTATTTTAATTTTATCTTAAATCATAATTTTTAGCTCAAATGTCTGAGGGACAGAAGGTAAACTATAGCGCTCTAATGATATTGTTGCCATTGTATTCATCCGCAAAGTTTTGGTTAACCTTTCATGTACAGGTACAGTAAGTATGTATAGTGATTTTCTGCTAAATACCTGTAGTTGGTACAAAAGAGGTTTTTGTTATAAAAAATCAGTAAATATTCTTAGATACCGTACATACCTGTACTAGTCTGGCTGAAACTACTGCACTCTTGATTTATTGCAATATTAATGTTTTGGAAATAATGGAATTTTTTGGGATATAAAAAAAATTTGGGTAAATCTTATGCTCATAGTGCTTTGCTGCTAAACTATTGGTGAAAGGACTTATGGTACTTAAATAGTAGTTCTCAGGAAACAAACATGATTTTATATATTTTATTATAAATATCTGTGTAGTCTTAAGTTATGGAGGGACAGAGTGAAGCCAAACAGGGAACAAATATGGCTGCTGTGGGACATAACTTTTAAGGAGATAATACAGTACTGTAGTATTTCTTGAACTTGAAAGCTTCAAAACAAAATAATAAATAAGGAGAGATGAAAGGCCATGTAAGTGAAAGCTACATATAATACTGCAGGAGTTGGCTTGTAATTAGCCCAATTTATATTTACAAAACACATAAACTATAATATCTAGTCAAATAATCTAGGCGAGATAGTTATACTATCCAGAAAATCTGGTATATGGCCAAATTTGTAAATTCACTATCCAATGCATCCCTTCACATTAGTACTGTACTGTAGCTACTGCATGCAAATACACCTCTGAGCTTATGTAAGGAATGTTTGTACAGGTTGTACCTCTCTAATCTGGCAACCTCGGGACCTGACCGGTGCCGGACCATGGAAATTCACCCTTTTCCTGGATAGATAGTGACTTGTGCTTATGCTTGGAAGCACTAGCACCACTTTCTCTGCATCATGGTCTCTTTGAAAACATATTGAAGGGTTAAATGTCGTATAGTAGCTTCTCAAATTTCGCGAGTTTTTAATTCTTAACGTATTTTACTGGAACACACACAAAAATAAATAATTAAAAATTTTGACGGCGGAAACTTGAATTTCGACGGGTTTGAACGGCCCGCCAATGTGCAGACGACGTGCATAATCGTGTAAACAGCGTCATTTCTCTTATGTACAAAAGATTCATTATTGTTTATTACTGAATGTCTTTTTTATTGAATTAATGTTTGTGTACAAAATGAGCAATACAATTCATTAATAATATGAAGAATATTAAAACACCCGAGGAAATGACACGGCATTGTTTTCGTTGATTGCAAAACCAGTGACTGACTGGTTCTACATACAGGGAGTTCTGCTATAACGAGTGTTTTGACAACGCGAATTGGCTCTAACGCAATTGATGAATAGAGGAACAATATTTGTAAAACGCGAACGCGTTTGCTCTAACGCGATTCCAGCGATTCCACTCGAACGGTTGTTGTGGCTTGGCGCGGGGTTATGCAGTGTTTACAGTTCACGTTCGGCATCACATGTTCAATTGATTTATGTGTTTTACTTGTGAACAATTGCAGAAATAATTTCCCGTATATCTCGGCCTATAAGAAGGAATTTGAACCATAAAAAAATTAGCCCAAAGTTAGGGGGTCGTCTTAGGCACCAGATATAAAATTCTTACCTCTTAAATATTGCGGTTTAGCGTGTCAAGAGTGGTGATGGAAACATCGTAAACCACTCAAGGTCCTACCACTAATTATTTTATACTGAAACTTACGTTTGGGAAGCTGGATTAAAATGAAGATTACCGGTATATTAAAATAATAAAAATGTATTATAAACCTGTCGAACATACCGGTAATAAACACAGCTGCTATTATCATCCACCCCCCCCCCCCCCATTTGCCAGTGACAAGAAAGGGAAAGTGACCTTGACTGTGACCGCCTGTGGCTATTTTTAGCCGTCCTTGTGTTCGGAGGTGGTCAGTAATGCATATCTGTATATTTACTGATGATAATACTTATCTCCTATAAATAATTCATTTAAAA